AAAAAAAAAAAAAACAAAAACAAAAAAAACATATGAGTATATGGCAGTTGTGAGAATTCAATTACTGAATGTATATAATGTACCTACAAAAGTACTTTTAGTAAGCCCTATTTTTACTACTCGCAAACTCTCTGAACTGACCAGCATCTAGTAAAAGCACCTAGTATTTTTGAACCTGAGGTCTGTTGGATGAATAAGCCCCTCCTATTTTCAAAGCACTGTTTTAGGAGAAAAATATATCTAAGGAAACCTAATGTAAGCTAGGACAGGACTAAAACTCACCACAGTCCAAGAACGCCTGAAAGACATTTGAATCCTCACATCTAATTCCAGTTCTATTTAACTCAACCTGTTCTAGCTTCTATACTCACGGTCCTAAATCTCTGTGGAGTTACATCCCACAAGGTGATCCAAATTCAATCTCCTCTTAACTCTGATAGTTGAAGGAGATGACCTAGGTGTATGTTGGTGCTTTTAAAGATATCCTGCATTGTAAATAAATAGGCGGATATTCCAGTTTTCAGAATCAATCTTGTGAGTCTGAGTCAATCCGTGCACTAGGTTCCTAAAACTGTGAAGCTAGAAAATAGGTCTGGCCCCATAACAACCTCAAAAGGTACAAGGATACTCCCAGAGATTCCTATGTTAAATATCAGGGTTAAAATAGTCTATTAAAAGGAGGATTTTTCTACTCTAAGAAATTATAAATGATTTAGTACCCAAAACAGTAATGTAAAAAAGAAACAAGTGATGTAACGATAACTTTTAAAACTCAGCATTGCTTCTTTCTGAAGCAGTATCTACTTGCTTTGTAAAAGGTGGAGTAGGGGTAGGGGCAGACTTAAGCAAAAACAGGGAGGAGATTACCTATTATCCCATCAATTTGGTGATCCAACTCCAGAATTAAGGTAATATTGTTTCCTCAGCTGGGTAAGAAAAGCTAAATTTCTCATATTCAAAACTGTATAGTATATAATTATCGTTCCCACCTATTTAATGGGCAGAAATCCAGAAGTTTGTCAACACACTCTGCTGACTGACAAGACACGGGGGACAGGAACTAGAACTAAAAAGTGGCCCATCCCCTATAAAGGGCAGATTGACAACTCCTGGCATAAAGACAAATGCATTTACCCTCTGACCCAGTCATGGTTATGTGAATTACTGCGAAAGTCCACGATTCACTGCAGTACTGGTTACATAAGCAAAATGTTATAAACAGCCCAAATGTCTATCAACAGGGGACCATTAGGTAAACTGGAATCTGTAACAGTGAAAACCACATACACAATGAATTAGGAACCATGGTGCTGTGAAGGAGAATTGGGACCTCTCTCTATATTGATACAGAAAGATCGCCAGGTAAGTGTAAGTGGAAAAAAGCCATGTTCAAATCAGTATGCCACCTTCAATGTAAGAAAGGGATTTAAATAAATAATAAAAAAAAAGCACATACATATTTCTACTTGCTTTTATTTTGTATAAGGAAAACACTAGAAAAATAAATATGAAAGTGATATAAGGGGCACCTGGGTGGCTCAGTCGGTTAAGTGTCTGACTTCGGCTTGGGTCATGATCTCGCGGTTTGTGGGTTCGAGCCCTGCCTTGGGCTCTGTGCTGACAGCTCAGAGCCTTGAGCCTGCTTCAGATTCTGTGTCTCCGTCTCTCTTCCCCTTCCCTGTTCGCACTCTGTCTCTATCTCAAAATAAACAAACATTAAAAAAAAATTTTTTTTTAAAGAAAGTGATTTAAGGATTACCTGTAAGGCCAGAGTGGTGGTTGAAGGGCAGTTGGTTACTCAGTCATGGGTGGAACCA